GAACATCTGAACATGACTGCTGCAGAACCTTAATAATTAGAATAGGGTTTTGGGGTATATTATACTCTAAATATACGACAAGGAACTCCCAAAATTGAGTATATTGGTAGCTATTAAGGTCCTAAACCCTAAACCCTAAACCCTAAACCCTAAGCTTATAAGGTCCCTACATTACCTCAGGGTAACTTGCGGGAAGCAAACCCCTCGAGCTCCAGGTGCCTGTGGGTAGTTCTGAAAAATTCGGGTCCATCTTAGGGTCTAAGGTTTAGGGTTTAGGGTTTAGGCTTTAGGGTTTAGGGTTTAGGGTTCCTTTCTATAAAGGTGTCGTACTGGGAACCGAAAAAAAAGGCTCGATTCTAGAGAACTACCCATATGGTTAGTAACCTACTATTTAGGTACTTAGAGCCGCAGGGAATGCCAACAAAAACGGAACCCCAAACCCTAAACAATAAACCCCAAACCCTAAACCCTAAACAATAAACCCTATACCCTCAACCCTAAACCCTAAGCCCCAAACCGGTAAGCACCATCAACCCTCGAGTCCAAGACGCCAGCGATTCCACCGCGCTTACTTGGAGGTTCATGGGTAGGTATAAGTGGCGTTATAAGTAAGGTAACTATTATTTTACATAAACATTTAAAACCATATTAGGTGACTTCTCAATCCACTTACATCTACCCGTGAACCTCCAAGTAGGAGTCCCAAGACGAGTCTTCAGCAGACAAGTGGCGTGGATCATCCACCAGACATCGATGGTACCCACCACGGCACTTAGAGGCATGTCCTGCCGGGCTTACCGTTGAGAGAAACGGAAACGAATCGCTATTGGCATGTTCGAGATCAGATGTTTATATACTGCCAACAAGGGATCAACCTTGAAACGGTTCTAAATCGCGGAATGGACTTCGACTTGGAAAGGTACTGTGGGTTCATTCTCTGCCGGCTTTCCGTCGAAGCTTCTGGTGATGTCTGAAAAAACTTAAGGTCGTACTTTATTTGTATATTTTCTATTATATATACACACACTATACATACCTACCTATATATATATATATATATACTGGCC